GCGACAAGAAACTTTTTCATGAGGTTTGATCATATATTAAAAATAATCTGTAATAACTAATTACTAATTATGTCTTACTTTATTTAATTTTTTTTAATGAGACAAGTTAAATAACTCAAAGTTTAGCTAAGCAAATCAAAATAGTACAGATGTATATCAAATGCTTGTTTACAATATTATATTACAAAAAAAAAAAAAAAATCATGTAACATCTTTGTTTGCTAATAATGATTAAATCAATTGTACTTCAAATTTCTATAACTTATGCTTATTAAATACATTATATTATAGAACATCTTATATAGAAAAAATATGACTAAAATAGAAATTCTAAAATAATTTTCTTATAAATATATTGTTGGAATATTTTTTTTAATATACCTTATATTTTCTCTACAGCCTGTACAAGCCGAAAAGACTATACCATTTTAAAGAAATTGTAATTTGTTAGGACTGAGACTTTTTTTCCTCTAATTCCATATTAACATAATGGTAATACATTTTTAAAGCAAGACCTCTCTCTCTCTTTTATCTCTTCCCCTTTCTCCTCGATGAATTTGCGTTTAAACTTTATCAGCCGAAATTTAGGAAATGTTTATTTAAAAGTCCTCGAAAAGGAACAGTTTAAATAAAAGAGCTCGTTATAAACTCTATAAAAAGTTAACAATAGAATATAATTTAAAATGTATTTGTAGTTATAAATATTTTTTCCCAACTCCAAAAAATTACTTAAAATTAGTAATGGTAATTAACTTTATGAACTAAACTATCTATAGATAATGTGAGTATTTGTCTTATACATAATATATAGCACATAGATAATTCAGAATAGATTAAATTGATGTAGGAAAAAATCACGTTAAATCTTATTTATTTATTTTAAATTAAATTTTATAATTTAACAACTACAATGATGATTATATTACAAAGCAAAAATAAAAATATTTCATATAATAAAATTAATGCTTAAATAAATTATTAAGCTTAAATACAAAAATAAATATTTAAACTTTAAAAATATAAGTAAATTTAAAATATTCAATTTAATACGTACCTTGATGGTTCAAATTAATTTTGTAAAAAAAAAAATTTATTTTATCTATCCAGTAGATTATTTTAAGTAAATCATTTTTCATTTTAATGGATCAAAATAAATGTATACAATATTAATTAACTATAAGTACCTATAGATATTTAATTTATAAAATACTTAGATGAGTGTTTTCAAATGGTATATTTATGTATAGAAGATCAATGAGCCAGCTAAAAAAATATAATGACATACATGCGCATGAACAACAGCATGAGTCCTAACCTCACTACATAAAAGAAAGATTGATACCAGTACGTCACTTTTGAAGTGGGGTAATTTTTTGGGGAATTAATAAACACATACTATAGTGAAAAATCGTTTAACTGTCGGCTTTTTGTTCTAATGTACGTTTATATAACAAATAATACAATTTACACACACAGACTTCAGTCAAATCCGAAATTATTGAAATATTATAGACATTTAATGAGATGATTTTCGGTTGACAAAATATTAGTATTCAAAACCTGTTATAAACTAAAACGTACCTATATATTTAATTTAGCAAAAAAAAGATCTCTAGTTCTGGCTCAGGGTACCTAAGGGCAAATGCTTTTAAATTAGGTATCGAAGATAATAAAATATTGACCGATTAAAATATAACGTGAGAAAGAAAAAGAATATCACTGCGATTATCTTGTTTACATTTCAAGATTTAATGTCGCTTATAAAGATGTTTTCTAGATATAATATACATATATAAGAGTATATACATATGAAAATATGTACATTTGAAAATTTTAACACATCTACCCTTTTAGATTGCAGAAAAATAAGTACTTAAATTGTCACACAAAAGTACAATTGAATACAACATTAAATTATAAATAAACCAATTATTAACATATGCATTTATCACTAACATTATTATAATTCTAAAATGTTGGGCTGTTATATAAGATATTAAATATACATATTTGTTCTAACAAACTTGGAAGACATTCAAATTTTTTAATTGCACATATATAAACGTTTAAAACACCATAAATGTTTAATTTTATATTATTTTACGCCAAGAAGTTATGAAATAGTTAGGGATAGATCGACTTAACAAATATTTTATTTTTTTATTTTCATTTTTATTTCTAGAAATAAACGTCCGAGGGCAATCAGTACAGAAATTATTAATACTTATACAATATTAAGTAAATAAATTTGCACTCTGGTTGAAATTAGTTGGTATACAAATTATTAAAATAGAAAAAATGGTTAGAAAGAAAATATATTAATTTGTATCGCTTTTTGAGAGGAATGAAAAATATCAAATTTTGTTTGTAATTTATTACAGGAGACTAAAAATATATGAACATACTACTATATTATTATAATATTCAACTATACATTATTTATATTCTACAAATATACAATATACAGTTACATTAAATAGCTTTCGGTGTATTTTAACTTTTATTAGGATTTATTAGTAATTTGTTGGGTATGTTGTTGAAGAACGGTGTGAGGGTAAATGCGCGCGCGCGTGTGTGTATGTGTGTATACATGCATGTGTCTATTACGGTCATATACGTTCTGCACGACAAACGAAAAATGAGCTTGAACATGGTATATTAACGCTTAAATCCATTTTAAAGATATCGGATCAAGTTAACAGAAAGAAAAAAGGGGTGTTGGACAGTTAACGATCGTGATGGATAACATGATCCATAAAAACCTCGATAATACACGAAGAAATTTAAAACGCTTGCATTTGCAAATGTGAGGTGAAAAAAAAATTAAAAAAAAAGATCTATGGTTAGTAGAGCAATTAGTAACGACACTTTACAACAATAAAAAAATGAACGTTCGTGACTTTTGACACTTTGGCAATACATACCTAGTCCAAAGTTATCGTTCACGATACTGAATAACGACGGCTTGCTAGAAAATCGCGTGGCTGAAGACCGTGTTATTTCGTGGGCTTTTCCTCTACTATCTTTAGATCAATAATATTTTTCAGTTAAAAATATAAAATAAATATATTTAAACACTATACAAAGTTCAAGTTCTATCAGTGAATTTATACACCTAATAAAGATAGCTAGCAAAAATAACAAGTATTTATTTTTATTTTTTGGTAAAAAACCAACTCATTCCGACATTTTGATAAATGATGTTTGTTTTACTTCTTGTCAGCCGTCGTCATAACTTTAGAAATCGTCTCCAGTAGAGGCTCACTTTTTTTACACCCGTGTTTCGCAATGAAATGTCCACAGCCTTTTCCACGGCCACCACAAGAGGAAAAAGATATCGGAAGTAATTTGCATAATCCTCGACACATTTCACCAGAGTTACAAAACAAAAAATAAAAAAATTAATAAACTGATAATAAAATTTTTTTATTTCTGCCAGTCAAACGTTTAAATTGAATTTTATATTAGAATAAATATAAATTTTCTTTGAATACAAAGTATTTAATACATCTGTATCGATGATTTTATATATATTTATACACTTGTAGTATATGATACAAATAATAAAATGTTATGATAATACTAAAGACATTAATATAAAATTTCAAGTTTTATTAGTTTCATTTTAGAAATAAACAATGAATACCAATTTAAAATAATAATAAAATTAAAATTAATACAAGGAAGGGGTATAATATTCACATATAAATCATAATATTATAAGGTTAATGTGTAAGTCTACACATATGGATAGGTAGGGGCGCATGTAAACTCCGCCAGAAAAATTGGGTTCATATAAACTCCGCCAGTGAAGAAAATCGAGTAGTAGTATAAAATTAATATGATATATTATTAAAAGTAATACATAATAAGTAAAAATAAGTGATTATTATTATTATACTATCATATAATATCATACCTCCATCTTATTTCACCAGACGCGTATTTAATATTTTGGTCATATTTGTAGTTGTTAAATACAACTAATAAATTATCTCGTTGACCAGTAATTAATTTTAAATTATTAATTTGTTGCAACATATTTCGTTCAATATAAAATAATATATACGGAGACTACGATGATTATGTTCGTCAAAGTATACTTTACGTATACCTTACCTACTGCCGATATTATCATAGGAAATACTGATTTCAGATAATATGAAGATAAAATTATTAATAAATGAATCAATGTGAATATACATCCACCTTGAAATCAATCGATCTAACCATGAAAATAATTTTATCAATTTCGACATACATCATCGCAATAGATATCAACGTATTTAATGTGAGAAGGCACATGGCAATTTCAACACTAAGCAGATAAACAAAAAAAAAATTGGCGGAATTGACATATAACCATTACAGGTAAAAAAAAAACTGGCCGAGTTTACACTAGACCTTTTATTACCTTTTTATCTTAACCGATATTCTGGCGGAGTTTACAATGGCCAATAGATAACAAAAAATAATAAGTAAATACCAATACTTTCGAATAAAGCATTGTCACCAAATCACACAATTTAAATAGGTACTCATTCTATTTTTCATCAAAGGTTGGTTTTTTTTTTTTTTTTTGGTGTACATTCTAATGAAATTATGCGTTTAGTGTTTACTTTAATAAGAGGTAGTGAACAATAAAATTAAAGGGTTGTAATAGTTGTGATGAAAAAAATGTACTCATTTTTAATACCCATACCCGCATATGGTCAGATTTCTTTAAAACGTTTTAATTTATTTTATGATTGGGGATCACATCGGATTTTATAAAAATGTTAGTGGATAAATGCATTATGGTTTTCATCGTCGTCAAGGCATAAATAATAACTGACGAAAAATGGTTTTTACTCCATTTATCAATAGAATAGTTGCATCAAAACATTGATTAAAACTAACTATCCCCATATATATATTACGTGGTAAATTAGGTTGTTACCTATAAGTTATGTTCACTATTATATATTTTATAACAGTGAATGACAGTTATTATGACTCACCATGTATCCTTTGGACTGCAACAGTTATTAGTAGCCCAAATACCGGAAGCACAATCATTGTGATTCAATTATCTGCACACTGTAAACAAAAAAATAATTTAGGACATTTAAAAATACATTTTTATTTCACTTTAATAACTATACTTTAAATGAAATATAATTAATTTTCATGAACAAAAACTTATTTATCTTAAATATATTGTTTGTTATATAATTCTATTTTTTAATTTTATACTTTTTCATAAACAAATATAAAATAAAATATATTTATAAAAATATAGCTTGTATACATATTAAACATTTCCATACAATAAATTGTTGTTAATTACAAATAACTGAAATACCAGTACTAATACAATTCCAAAGACACATACAAATAAATTCCGAAAAATTTTATCATTAGCGTCAAAACACTTATAGCCCCTGGCACAATCGGTGAAGTATATTTTAGTATTTTTCATTTCACCTGTTACAAACTTCCCCTGTGCATCTACTTCCTCTAACATTATGTTTTCCATCAGATTTAGCCAACGGCGTTTCATTTAACCCGAAAATACATTACATCCCTTCACATTGTGTACTACTCTTTATAAATCTATTTTTATGTGGACTCATTTTTACGAATGGTTTTTACCTTCATATTTCATTCAGACCTAATGTACATATAAATATTATACAAACATGAAAAAATACTAACGTATTAAAAAAAACACTGTGCTCCGTTACAAGCTCTTAAGTAAACTTTTTTTAAAGTATACTGGAAGAATGAAGGGGAATAAAAAAACATTTTAAATGTTACAAGATATTTTGAAGCTACACTTAATAATTGATTCAGATATGAAGGTATATTAATAAATATTTAGTATACATAGGCCAAAATTGAAGTGTCCTTTTATTTAAGTGTTTAAATAAACTATAGTTCTTTCTGTTATTATCATCCCATAAAATCATGCTTGTTTTAGAATATAAATCTGTCGGTTATAATAACAGTAGTCCACTACAGACTATGCTACTGATCTGACGAGAATCGCGAAGCCATTTACTTCAAGTGCTATTACCATTTCCTCCTAATCAAACGATGCCCATTTTCTCTCGTCACTGCTAGCGACAATAGCCGACAACCGTCTCAGTCATAATAATCAATTAAGCTACATGTGTGATGTCATTGTCGTTCTAGTTTAGTGTTCAGAATATAGTTTTTATTATATAAAGTTTTATATAAATTAGTGAGTTTAAACCACAATAACGATGTATGTGTAACAGCAGCAATAAGAAAAAATGTAAAAATGTATAAATTAAATATGAAATATATAATTTAATATAAAAAAAAAAATATTTTAACAAATTATTTAATCTTAAAGTATTTATCACTGATTTATTTTAAAGTTTCAAACACCATAACATTAAAAATATTCATATACCTAAACGAGAAAAACACAAAACAAAACGTAAGTAAAAATTACATATGTGTGATGATAAAAAGGGGTAAGATACACGGGTCAAGTGAAGTATAGGAACCAAGTAAGTCAAGTGAATTAGAAAAGGGTAATACTCTTGGTAATACAGATGTAAAGAATAATACACAATAATTTAAAACCAATGTAATGTAAATTTGGTTTTAAAAAATAATTAATAGCAAAATACAAATAAATCAGCCTCCATGTATAATTATAGTTACCTATAAAAACCAAATAATTTCGTCTCGACCAACTTTTAAGAAAAAAAAATCATATTCAAATATATTTCTTGGACTATTAATTAAATATTAACAGTAAATATGATTATTATTATAAAATATATAATGCTTCTATGAATATTTATTTAATATTTTTTGTAAAACATGATAATTAAACTCAATTGATTGAAACTCGTATAAATATTCCTATAGTTTAACAAATTTCTTAGAAATATCTGATTTCATAAAAAATAAATTTTATGACTTTCAGGTTAACTCCTTTTTCTGCTGACAGAAAAGTTAAACTGATAATGTATCTTGTATTTATTCACTTTTCAATCATTAAGTATTAAAATTGAAAATATTAGGAATTTTTAATCACAAAAAAGTTGCAGATTTTCATGATTTTTCTCGAGTTTTGAATTCAAATACATACATATATTATAAAACAAAAAAAGTCTATATTATATTCGATATAATTCTAAAAAAAAAGTAAGAAATTTATAAAGGGATCTTAATATTACATTATTAAGATTTTTTGATAAATCAAATTTATTTATCGACATTTTATGAAAAAAAGCTAAGAAACATATGTATTTCAAGCATTTATAAACAGCCAAAAAAATTTTAAATCTTTTGAATATTTTGAAAAATTTTATCATCCCTAGAAAGTGGTAATTTAAGCATTTAATGAACATTTAAAGTTTTTACGACTATTATTTTTTACTTTTTGATTAAAACGAAAAATAATAAGATTTTATTAAAATCCAACATGCCATAAATATTGCCATTCTTTTGTAATTTTTAGTTAATGTTGTCAATTGTATAAAAAACAGTGAAAAAAATCAAAAAATTACCTTAGGAGTTCACCAAAAGACAAAATTTTCTATCAGAAACTATCTCACCTTTAGATCATCGGAAGAATTCTTCAAGTCGATATTTAGTAGACAGACACAAACAATTAAATTAATAAATTAATAAAAAACACACATTAAAGTAAAATCAATATATTCCTCATTTAGTTCAATATTTAAAAAAAATTCTAGTAAAAAATAAATAGTTATTATTGATTAAAATATAAGCTTAAGTTAAAAATATATTTAAAAATATAAGTTAAAATATAAAGAAAGAACGAAGTCCAGAAATACAACAGAATATCGAGTTTAATTGTCCTTTGTTAACATGTATATGGCTATAATTACTTAGTTTTTCTTCACCTAATATATCATGAAGGATAAAAAGAAAGGGAGAAAAATGAGTCTAATTGAAAACACTCAGTTTGTTTGTATAAAACATGAATGACGCTAACTCGCCTTCTCCTACCCCATTATCAGTTTTCCACAGGCACACTCAGATTTAATATTAAAGAGTACTTACAATTTTGTCGTACAGTTTTTTACTCATAAATTTTTTTATAAGAAATAAAGAGTACGATACTATGACAATAAACTAAAAGTCATTAAAAAAAGGTAAAAGACTTGAAATGGTCTAACGCTAAGTTGATGTACTTTCAGTGTAGGGGAATAAAGTCTCGTTGAGAAGAAACCCCATTTATAACAAACCAATATACAAGTACATATATTTATAAATTAACAGAATTCATGAGCGGTGAAGATTAGGAAAATATATTTTTATTTTGTAAAAACATAATAATAACACCTTTTTTGTACACAAATCTTGATATTTACCAGTTAACTCTGTAATTTATTTAACATAATTTTTGAATAGTCATTACTCATTCATAATATTATACTTGTTATTTTTATTGGTCATTGAAAAATTGTCGAATAATATTTTCAACCAGTAAGTGGTAACACATGTATAATTGCAAATACAGACAAATCTTTTTATTAAATAATTAGAAAAAATAACTGTATCTTATTAGTTAAATTGTTACAACCACCATTAAACTCCATGTAAATAATATTGTAATGCATAAAATTCAGATTGGTTTTTAAGACCCATACCTCATACCGTTATTGGATTTGTAATATATATTCTTACGATGAAACAGCAGGTTACTCGGATACCAGACGAAACCAGTTTAATTGTCCTTGGCCTCTTGTATCCTATGCACGTATTATATAAATACACACACGCACGCATACACACATATATATGTATATATAAATAAAACCCAACATATAAGAATGAAGTTGTTTCGTATTCAATACATGCAGCTTTAGTTCCATATGTAATGCATACATACGACCAGTTCAATACACATTAATGAGGACATAATTTTTGGGGAGAAAAAAATACCGGTGGTAAATTGAAGGGGGTTTCCATCACTACATGGGTGGTCATATCAGATAAATTGTCATCAAACCCTCGGAATGTAGTTTACAACAGGCTTCCTACACTAATGATCTCAAGGATCCACTAATTCTCCAGGTTATTTTCATATCAAATAGAGTGGTTTCAAGTTTTCAACGATCATGTAATATACCTAGCTGATACACCGTCAGCAAGTTTGATTTTATCTTTGTAGATATAGTTATTTAAGTGCGTCATACTATGTTAATTTAAGGAAACATAGATTTTATCAGATATAACAAAACATATTTTAGTTGATAAAACCAAAAATAATAGGTAGTATAAATAAATAAATGGCTGCCAGTACTATTCTAAAAAAAAAAATAAACATATTGACTCAATCAATACTAAATAATAGGTCCTTGAATAGTTTCATTTTAACTATAGCAATATAAAGTCTAAATTAATACAAATATTGAAGTTAAATTTTAGATTTTTTTAAATGATAAACCTAATTCATTGCTTGGTTCAATTAATACTTTATAAAAACCTATAATGTATTTTGGTAAATAATTTAAAATGCATAAAATACATAAAAATACCAAATTTTTAGAAATTCAATACACAAATCAGGTGTTTATAAATTGTATAATTGTATACATAGGTTAACTCAAATACTCAAAACACTTACTCTTATTCTCATTCATGATTAAATAATGATGTAAATTAAAAATTTCTACATATATATATACAATATTTTAATAAGTAAAAAAACAAAAATATGACACCCTAAATTTTTTTTGGATATTTTATGGTAAATATATAAAATAAACTAATATTTTACTATAAAATCCTTTATGAATACTTGCTTCTTGCATTGGATGGGAATTAAAATAGTACCACCTTCATTTGAATCATTCATTTTTTTATTTATTTTTTTTTTTTAATAAATTATAAAAATAAACAACTTTATTTATAAAAAAAGGACGTCAAAATATTAATTAAAATTTAAAACAGTAACATTTTACGACTATAGGTATTATAAACTGAGATGACCTTAGCTTAATACTCACAAAACTATGCACCATGTATGAAAGTATAAGATTTCAAATAGTTAATGAGTATAGATGTAAATTAAAACTATTGGG